GTCGGCGCTCATACCGTCCCACACTAGCACTTCCACGAACTGCTCTCTGAGCGGCCCAGGGGGAAACCGTCTCCCTAGACTCTCCTCAACCCTATCCACAAACCCATGCAATGGCTCCCCCAAGCTTCAATGGATCCCCGACATGGGTGGCTCTGCAGGGCCTGCACCCAACCCACGCCAGGCCTTGAGGTCAAGGGCCCTGACCCGCTCCGTATATGGTGGTGGAAGTACTGGCTGCTGGGCATCCATGGCAAAGGCGTCCGTGGTCCCTGTCAGCATGCTGAAAGTGATAGGGACGGGGGGGTTGGCAGCACAGTTATTTTCTGCCTGGACCCGACATTCCTCTCGGTATAACGCTGTCCATTCAACGAACAAGGGGCTGGGGAGGATCGCCCCGGCCAGATCCATCCAGTCTCCAGCTGCACAGGCCTGACACACCAAGCCCTGGAGACAGGTGTCGACCCAGGGGGACCCGGGGCCGCCTTCGGCCACCGCCTTCCTCAATCCCCCAAGATCTTCAGCCTCCCAAGGGCACCCGGCGGCCGGGCACTGGGGCCAAGGGTTGACGTCCACGGGGAAAGCCTGGACCAGTCCCACAAGACCGGAGAGCTCTTATGGACTAGATCGGTTCCCCCCCCCCAAAGGTCCTTTCCCTTGTGCTCATCCCAACTACCTGGGGTCCCCCCTTTATTTTCCCCGTTCTCATCATCCCCCCTTTCCAGATCTCTCTATAGTATGCGCTTCATTTTCGATCATTGGGCTCTCTCCTTATCAAACACAACCCATTGTTCTTCCCCTGCAACCTTATCCACCCCGCAAAGGCCGGTATGCCCGGGTGTTGGATTGGGTTGAAAACATGATTTAAGGGCTGAGATCGTGGGGTAAAACACCAAGGGTGGTTCCTCCCCTCTATTGATCTCTGCCTTGCGAGCCAGTTGTTCAAGCTGATCCCAGGTATTCCACTGGAATAAATTGCCAACAGGCAATCAGGGAGCGAGACGCAGGGCGGCCTCCCACACCCTCTTTGATGAGGAATTGGACTGTTCTAACCCCCTGGATCTCAGCATATGTCTCAGCGCCGTGAGCGCCGGGTCCCCACTTTTACTTGTTGCGTTACACATCTCTTGGGGTCTCACTTCCCTCGGTACTCACCCTATTAGCCCTGGCGATCAGCTCCCATAGCGGTCTGAGTGGGCATTGTGCCCCACGTTAGGCGCCAGATGTCGGGGATCCTGCCCCGACACAGGATCCGGGGAAAGGGAAGTGCGCTGTCTGCCCGTTACCCGCAGCCTCCCCAGGAGACAATCAGACGTGACAGGGAGCCAGTCAAGCAAGAACTCATTTATTGCAGGTGTTTACAAAGCTTAAAAAGGCAAAAACCACAAAGGAAAATCCCCTCCCCAACCAAGTGTCCAATCATTTTAAAGGTGAACTTGAGCATGCAGTCTCCTCTCCATAGCACAGCATTGTGTTCGTGGGGTGATCACGCGCTGCCAGGATACACGGAAATGACAGGAGCCAATCAGAGATTCATCAAAACAAGTCTGGCCGTGCTCTGGCCATTTCCTCTAGGGGCCAGACAAGTCCAATCACACCTCAGCTGTTTCCTCTAGGCACCATCCTGCCTCGCCCCTGCCTAAGGCCCCCGCAGATGATCTTTTTGATGTGTGTCTATATGTAGTTTGCAAGTATCTTGAGAATTTTTGCATCTATGTTCATTAAGGATATGGGTCTATAGTTTTCTTTTTTGGTTGTATCTTTACCTGGCTTTGGTATTAGAGTGATGCTGGCTTCATAGAAGGAATTTGGAAGTTCTCCCTCCATTTCTATCTTTTTGAATAAATTAAGTAGTATTGGATGTAGATCTTTTAAATGTCTGATAGAATTCTGAGGTAAATCCACCTGGTCCTGGGCTTTTTTTAGTTGGGAGGTTTTGTATTACTGTTTCAATTTCTTTTTGTGTTATGTGTCTGTTTAAGCTGTTTATCTCTTCTTGGTTTAGTTTTGGTGGTTCCCATGCCTTTAGATATCCATCCATTTCTTTTAGGTTTTGAAATTTAGTAGCATATAGGTTTTTAAAGTATTCCCTTATAATGTTCTGTATCTTTCTGGTGTCTGTTGTGATGTTTCCCCTTTCATCTCTGATTTTGTTGATTTGGTGTTGCCCTTTCTTTCTTTTAGTTAACTGGGCTAGCTGTCTGTCAATCTTTATCTTTTCAAAGAACCAGCTCTTGGAATTGTTGATTTTTTTCTGTTTTCTTTGTTTCAATGTCATTAATTTCTGCCCTGATTTTTGTTATCTCTTCTTGTCTGCTGGGTTTTGTTTGCTGTTGCTTTTCTAGTGTGTTGAGTTGCAATGTTAAGTCATTTATTTGTGTTCTTTCTGATTTTTTGATGTAGGCACTTAGAGCTATAAACTTCCCTCTAAGAACGGCTTTCAGCGTGTCCCAGAGGTTTTGTTGTGTTGTATTGTCCTTTTCATTTAAT